AATCCATCCCTGACCTTCATCTCAAAATCCATCCCTGACCTCCATCCCAGAACTCCATCCCAAATCTTCATCCCAAAATCCATCCCAGACCTCCATCCCAAAATCCATCCCTGACCTTCATCCCAAAATCCATCCCAGACCTTCATCCCAAAATCCATCCCCCACCTTCATCCCACATCTTCAGTACAGACCTCCGTCCCTGGTTGGGTCTTCTCTCCATCCCAGACCTCCATCCCAAACCTTCATCCCAAACCTTCATCTCAAAATCCATCCCAGACCTCCATCCCAAATCTTCATCCCAAAATCCATCCCAAATCTCCATCCTCGGCTGTGTGCTCCATCCCAGACCATCATCCCAGAAATTCATCCCTGGCTGTGATCTCCACACTGACCTTCAGCCCTGGCCGCATCCTCCATCCCCGACCTTCATCCCAAAATCCATCCCAAAATCCTTCCCAAACCTTCATCCCAAAATCCATCCCAGACCTTCATCCCAAAATCCATCCCAAAATCCTTCCCAAACCTTCATCCCAAAATCCATCCCAAACCTTCATCCCAAAATCCTTCCCAAACCTTCATCCCAAAATCCATCCCAAACCTTCATCCCAAAATCCTTCCCAAACCTTCATCCCAAAATCCATCCCAAACCTTCATCCCAAAATCCTTCCCAAACCTTCATCCCAAAATCCATCCCAAACCTTCATCCCAAAATCCTTCCCAAACCTTCATCCCAAAATCCATCCCAAACCTTCATCCCAAAATCCTTCCCAAACCTTCATCCCAAAATCCATCCCAAACCTTCATCCCAAAATCCTTCCCAAACCTTCATCCCAAAATCCATCCCAAACCTTCATCCCAAAATCCTTCCCAAACCTTCATCCCAAAATCCATCCCAAACCTTCATCCCAAAATCCTTCCCAAACCTTCATCCCAAAATCCATCCCAAACCTTCATCCCAAAATCCTTCCCAAACCTTCATCCCAAAATCCATCCCAAACCTTCATCCCAAAATCCTTCCCAAACCTTCATCCCAAAATCCATCCCAAACCTTCATCCCAAAATCCTTCCCAAACCTTCATCCCAAAATCCATCCCAAACCTTCATCCCAAAATCCTTCCCAAACCTTCATCCCAAAATCCATCCCAAACCTTCATCCCAAAATCCTTCCCAAACCTTCATCCCAAAATCCATCCCAAACCTTCATCCCAAAATCCTTCCCAAACCTTCATCCCAAAAAGGGATCCAGGGGCAGCCCCAGCTGCTCTGGGCACCCTCTGCCAGGGCCTGCCCACCCTATCAGGGGAGAAATTCCTCCTAATATCTATTATCTATTCATCTAATTCCTCTTAATATCTATTTTTTTATCTATTCCCAAACCTACTCCCTGTCAGTTTGAAGCCATTCCCTGTGTCCTGTCCCTGTCCCTGTCCCTGTCCCTGTCCCTGTCCCTGTCCCTGTCCCTGTCCCTGTCCCTGTCCCTGTCCCTGTCCCTGTCCCTGTCCCCGTCCCTGTCCCTGTCCCTGTCCCTGTCCCTGTCCCTGTCCCCGTCCCTGTCCCTGTCCCTGTCCCCACCCCACAGCTCCAGCTGGTGCCCCCATGGCTGATGTCCTTTTGGGAGGTGGCCTGGGGGAGCCTCTGCTCATCCAGTGCTCCCTGACCTTCCTCCCAAAATCCATCCCAGACCTCCATCCCAAAATCCATCCCAGACCTTCATCCCAAAATCCATCCCCAAATCTTCATCCCAAAATCCATCCCTGACCTTCATCTCAAAATCCATCCCTGACCTCCATCCCAGAACTCCATCCCAAATCTTCATCCCAAAATCCATCCCTGACCTTCATCTCAAAATCCATCCCTGACCTCCATCCCAGAACTCCATCCCAAATCTTCATCCCAAAATCCATCCCAGACCTCCATCCCAAAATCCATCCCTGACCTTCATCCCAAAATCCATCCCAGACCTTCATCCCAAAATCCATCCCCCACCTTCATCCCACATCTTCAGTACAGACCTCCGTCCCTGGTTGGGTCTTCTCTCCATCCCAGACCTCCATCCCAAACCTTCATCCCAAACCTTCATCTCAAAATCCATCCCAGACCTCCATCCCAAATCTTCATCCCAAAATCCATCCCAAATCTCCATCCTCGGCTGTGTGCTCCATCCCAGACCATCATCCCAGAAATTCATCCCTGGCTGTGATCTCCACACTGACCTTCAGCCCTGGCCGCATCCTCCATCCCCGACCTTCATCCCAAAATCCATCCCAAAATCCTTCCCAAACCTTCATCCCAAAATCCATCCCAGACCTTCATCCCAAAATCCATCCCAAAATCCTTCCCAAACCTTCATCCCAAAATCCATCCCAAACCTTCATCCCAAAATCCTTCCCAAACCCCTCCCTGCCCTCTATCCCCAACCTCCATCCCAGAAATTCATCCCAAATCTCCATCCTCGGGTGGGTCCTCCATCCCAAAATCCATCCCTGCCCTCCATCCGTGGCCGCAGCTGCTCTGGGAATTCCATCCCCCAGATCCCCCCAAAATCCCCTCAATTCCCCCCAAATCCCCCCAAATCCCCGCTTTGTCCCAAGATTTGGGGGAATTTGGGGTGGATTTGGGGGGGATTTAGGGTGAATATGGGGGGATTTGGGGGATCTGTGAGGGTTTGGGGGATTTGGGGGATTATCCCAAAATCCATCCCTGACCTTCATCCCAAAATCCATCCCAAAACCCCTCCCTGCCCTCTATCCCCAACCTCCATCCCAGAAATCCATCCCAAATCTCCATCCTCGGCTGGGTCCTCCATCCCAAAATTCATCCCAAAATCCCTCCATCCGTGGCCGCAGCTGCTCTGGGAATTCCATCCCCCAGATCCCCCCCCAAATCCCCGCTTTGTCCCAAGATTTGGGGGAATTTGGGGTGGATTTGGGGGGGATTTAGGGTGAATATGGGGGGATTTAGGGGATTTTGATTGGATTTGGGGGGATTTGAGAGGATTTAGGGGGGATTTGGGGCTGATTTGGGAGTTTTTGGCGGGATTTGCGGGGATCTGAGGGGGATTTGGGTCGGATTTGGGGGGATTTAGGGCAGATTTTGGGGGGATTTGGGGGATTTGGGTTGGATTCGGGGAGATCTGAGGGGGATTTGGGCCGGATTTGGGGGGATTTAGGGCAGATTTTGGGGGGATTTGGGGCAGAGTTGGAGGGATCTGGGGCTTTTGGAGGGAATTTGGGGGGGTTTAAGGCAGATTTGGGGTGGATTTGGGGTGGATTTAGGGTGGATTTGGGGGGGATTTGGGGCAGATTTGGGGGGATTTAGGGTGGATTTGGGGTGGATTTAGGGTGAATATGGGGGGATTTGGAGGAATTTGGGGGTGTTTGGGGGATTTAGGGCAGATTTGGGGCGGATTTAGGGCGGATTTGGGGTGGAAGTTCCCGCCGCGGGGTCGGGATGAGGCCCTGAAGCCGCTTTTGCTCAAACCGAGAAGAATAAAAAAAGCGACTTTGGGGAGAAAACTTTAATCAATGCACAAGCGTTATCAATTTATAAACTTCCATCAATTTATAAACGCTTTCAATTTATAAACATGAACAACAAACATTTCCCGCCCTTTCCCCTCAGGCCCCGCCGCCATCTTGGCGGTGACAGCTGACGCCACTTCCGGCGCCTCCCTGTGACGTCACTCCCGGTTCCGGCGCGGCTGTGGCGGAGCGAGGCGGCCCCGGGAGGTACCGGGCGGGCCCGGGGGGGATTTGGGGCTCCCGGGGGGGATTTGGGGGTCCCCAAGGGGCTCGGGAGGTGCCCGGGGTGCGGCGGGAGGGAGCGGGGGCGGTTCTGCCGCGGCCCCGGGGGTGGAACCGGGACTTTTCCCGTTCCGCTGCCTCCGTTACCGACCGCTCTCCCCTTCCCGCTTTGCTCCCGTTCCTTTCCCGCTCCGCTTTTCCTTCTCTTCCCGTCCCTTTGCCCCTCTCCGCCCCTTTTCCCTCCCCTTTCCCTCCCGGGTTTCCCTTTTCCCCTTTTCTTTCCTTTCTCTCTTTTTCTCCTTTTCCTTTTCTCTCTTTTTTCCCCTTTTCCCGCTTTTTCCTCTTTTTTCTCCTTTTTCCCATTTCCGTTTCCCATATTCCCATTTTTCCTTTTTCCCCATTTCCCCCTTTTCCCCTTCCCCCCCTTTTTTTTCCCATTTTCCCCCTTTTTTTCTCATTTTCCCCATTGCCTTTCTCCATTTCCCCATTTCCCTTTTTCCCTTTTTTCCCC